TTTACAGTATTTAGCTACGTGTCGGAAAGACTGACACTTGTAGCATCTGCTCACTGCAACGTGATCACGGATCCGGAGAGCATTCCAGCCAATATAGACCCTATCATTTCTTAATAAGATGTTTCTGGCATTTGGTGAGACCTCTTAAACAAGGTTAACTGTGTCTGCACTTCTACTATAAGATCTGTGAAAGATTGATACCTCTTCAGTAAACCTGCTCTTTTGATAATCATCCATATTCTTTTGCCTGAGCGCTTGGGCAAACTCCTTATCATTTATCTCTTTAAGCACGTTGTAGACGATAAGCATAGGTTTCTTCTTACTGGGTTCCCCAGTACTTAAGCCTGCTGCTTGCAACTTCTTAGATTTAAAAACACGCTCTAGAGTTTTTGTTTCTATAAAAATTCCATTGTTGGAAATTTTCTTAACAGCACAGATCTTCAATTTCTCTTTGGTAGGAGCCATGCAACTCATGACCGTAGTTTTTGTTTCCTCACTTGACTTAATATTCTTCTCAGAGCTTGGGTAGATCACTACTACGTGCCGTTTAGTGTCGGTAAGGTTGGTGTTTTCCTTCGCAACAGCAGGGATTTTCACTCTGTCGGCATAACTTTTTGGGTTATTTTTTAGTTGCTTAGTACTAGTAGTAGCAACATGAATTGCCTCCTCTAATTTTTTTAGTTTATCATCTATTGAGCCTGAATCCGACCGATTTAGTTTTAAATTATCGTTCTCCTCTTTAACACTTTCACAACCGCACGTTTGCGCAGTGAAACGTCGCCAGTGGCCGGCAATATTTTGGAAGAAACACTTTGCCGCCATGATATCATACCTTCGTCAGTACAAATGTTTTGTGAAAGATTGAGATTTTCTTCAAATTTTTTGGAGAAGTAGTCGATTAGGTATTGTATTTTAAAGAGTCTGTTACCATTGGTAGGCGTGATAGCATTGTTTGCAAAATAAATGTATGTCAATATTTGCCTGAATCTATTGCGGCTTATTGTTTTGGAAAATATATGAGTCTCTATCAGTGGATTTGTGGACAAGTAATCCTTCATTCTTGGTTTTTTCACAAGTCCCATTATAATTA